ATGCTTTACAAGTTCTTATTCTGTTATTGAGTTATTTAAAAAAAAAATTATTAAATTTAAATCTTTTGTAAACTTTCATAAGTTCACTAAGTTATAAAAAATAGTTTATATATCTTTAAAAGTTTTGTAAATAGTTTTATTTTTCTTGAAATTTAAATTTTAGGATTTATAAATTTTTATATACTTCCGTAATTTTTCGTAAGTTTTTACGGTGCGTAAGATTTACGTAAACCAACATAAAATTTTTACGTAAATTTACGATTTTCTTATGCACCGTAAGATTTACGTAGTTTTACACTAAATTTTACGTAAGTTTACGATTTTCTTACGCACTGTAAAAATTTACGAAAGTTTACGCATATATATTTTTGCTGATGTTGTATAATGGATACCTCCCAAAGATCATTGACAGGTTGTTGTACACCATATCAAGATCTCTTTTTATCTTCTAATTCTTCCTTCTTTTTAAGAAGCACAAGACAAAAGAAAGAAATTTTTAACAAAAAGAGTTTACAAAAATGACCAAAAATAAAAAAACAGAAAAGAAAAAGAAAATACTAATTGCAAAAAAGAAAAAATCTAAAAAAAAAATCTAAAATCCTAAAAGCACTATTATAACTCATATATAGCTACTAAAAAATTATATAACAACTACAACAGTTGTATATCTCTCTTGTAAAGCTTCACCTTATTGTTCAATTTTCTTCCTGACTAATTTTGGATAGTTTTGTTTAGTCTATTCTAATCCATATTTCAAGCCAGGTGCTGCCACCATTTGAAAATCTGTATCTTAAGCCACCTGCTACTGTCACTAGAAGTTTGTTGTCTGGGGCCCAATTCTAAATAGTAGTACCGTATTTGTCAAACACGTAGTTGTAGTCTATTATGCTGTTCCAAATTAAGATATAAACACTGCTAATCTTTTGGAAGGGGTAAGCCAAATCCTTACTTTTTGTTGAAAATTTTTGAAAAACTAGCAGAGAGGTGAGAAAAGGTAGAAAAGGAACTACTTGACCAAGTAAAAGGAGTGTAGCTTGAAAAACAAGATTTGTTGTTTTCTCTATTTTTTTCTTTGAAGTAACAACCTAAAAGCTTTGTTGATAAAGAAGACCAAAAGCTCTTTGGCATTCATCTCTCCACCAAGATTTTTCATACAAAGATGCTATTTTTTGCTAGTTATCTTGTACAATAATACTCTTGCTTGTATATCGAATATTTTATAGAGGAGTTCTATATACAGAAAGCATTAATCTCTAGACAAACCACTACATTAGGCTACAACTCTCTAACAAAACTAGTTTTCTTTTAGTAGGAAATTTTAATTCAAATAATTATTAGAAAGAGTTTTTTTTTGAATATAAATTAAAATTTTTAATAAATTAAAAATTTTTAATATTAATATAATTTATTTTTATTTAGAATTTAATAAGAAGTTGGACAAAAAAATTTGTTACTAATTTTTAAGAATTTTCTTCATCAGGACTTAAATTTTCAAAATTATATTTGTAGATTTATCATATAACAGATTTAATTAAAAGTATGGATCTTTGAATGGATTTTCTACTAAAACATATGAAAGTCTTTTAAAAATTTTGTCAAATCACCTTATTATTTAACCAATAAAAAAATATAGAAATTCAAATATTAAAAATAGTAAGTATTTAATTTTATAATATTTGTTATATTTAAATTTTAATTTTAATTAATTTAAATTAAATAGATTTAAAGGCAAGATATTGTAACAAAATTATCTGCCAAATCAAACCAAAATGCTAAAATTATATATTCTTTTAAATTTAATAATTTAATTTGAAAATTTAATTTAAAGAGATTATATATATGTACTCAAAGGTACACATACCCGTATTATGTGATCTATAGATCACCACTAAAATTCAAGATCAGGTGTAACGTTACACGATCAGAAAATTCAAAACAAACGTTTGTTTTGACAAAAAATCACTCATTTCGCAAGAAATTGCATACTAAACCACCCTTTGTGTACTAATAAAAAGTTTTTTTTGAGCAATTTTACTATATAATAAACTAAAGCCTAAACCTAATATAGTTGCTACCCTAACCCTAATCTAAATGATATCAGTATTACTGGTTTTTATATAATATCATATAATGGGTACAAAAAAAATTTAATGTACCCTACGGGTATAAAAATATTAACTCATAATAATAATATAATAATAATAATAATAATAATAAAAATGACCAGTATCGACGCCATTCAAATTCGATTCAACCTAAGCATTCTTAACTTCAACCCAGTAGTCTCTATACCTTGCCCTTTTCTAGAGAAGCAGACCCCACCACGCAAGCGGATATTGCCATTCGGGCAATTCGGTGTGCCGCTGAACACCGTCAATGGGAAGAAGCTCTTGTACATATCTTTTATTTAGGTTGGATGTTTGCCAATTTAAAAAAAGGGCCACTTACCCAACTTCGTAGAAGCCGCCTATGACACTACCTCAATGCCGCATTAAGAACTTATAAGCTCTTTGGACATCTCGGCATTGAGCACATGTATTGCACCCAATAGACCACTCTCACAAAAATTCGCCAATTATCCAGTGATGATTTTGAGGCCTTATTGGAGTAATCTTGCTCTTGGAACTCGCAAATAAGGCCGGGAGTGTGTAGAAGGGGTTCCGGGACTGAATATTAGTGCCTATACTTTTTTTTATTTTTTTTATATTATATTAGTTTATTTTTCTTTATATGTATTACGCAAATTAAACAATTATTAGAAAACTAGTTACTTGTACATAATACGATGTATATTTTGTATATAGTGATGTGTACATTTTGTACATATGTACAAAATATACATAGAAGCCGTGTATATTTTGTACATATGTACAAAATGTACATCAAAGCCATGTACAAAATGTACATAGCAAAGGAAAAACTCAAGAAAAACTAGTTAGATAGCGAACATAGCCCAGTGTAAAGAAGAGCGGTCTGAAAGTATAAAAGACACACCTTTTTCGCTTTAATAAAAGTAACTCGTATGAGTTCTATACTTCAAAAGTCTTAAAAGTAAAAGTTGGTTCTCTAATAGTTAAAACCTTTGATTCTAATTTTGCTTGTCATAATTCGATTATAATAAACTTATTGTTGATCTTCCCCTGTAAAAATTGATTTATCGAACCTCTTGTCTCTGTGATACTTTTAAGAACGAAATATTTTAAGTAAAAAAAAAAGTGTTTGATTAGTAATTAGACCCTTCTTAAATACAAAACCAAGATTAGACTATTAATAAAATCATGTCATTGTTACAAATCACCTTTATTTGACTATTACGTCAAACAATCGAAATTAACAAAGATCCCATTTCATTAGCACGTGACACGTGACAACCAGTAGAGCCCTAGCGACTATAACCTAAGTATCGAAGCCCTAATATACAAAAGAACGAAAGAAGAACTTTCTTTGACTATTTACTAGTGTCCACAATCTAAAAGTACAAATAAAGGCCTAAAATTATACTTATCTTGTCTCCTATAAAGCCTGAAGCTCCAAAAACTCAGACCAAGTTATTCCACGCCTTGATTGTCACCTTCCACATTTGGAGCCATGGTTTTGGCACCTATTGTATTTTTTTTTTAGTTAGATAGTGTTTAGTTAGTTATTTTGATTATATATCATTTCTCACCTT